AGAGAGAGAGAGAGAGAGAGAGAGAGAGAGAGTTTTTGGGCTCCTCTGACCTTATGAGCATCAGTCTAAACAATGGATAGAGCGCCTTCCCAAGTAGGAAGGCCAGAGTTGGAGGCTCTCGCCGATAGTAAGAACAATGGATTCAGAGATGTCAGGCACGAATTCTCCAGTAGTTCTCTCTCTAAGATCCAGAACCTGAGAAACTCACGTTCCAATTCACTATCAAAGTCCAGTTCAGAGCTCGAATCCCCATCTTATGGTGGTGGCCAAAGCTTGGCTTCGATCCTCAATAACCCCCATCTGGGAAAAGGCGGTGTCTATAGCTCCGATGCTTCATGGGTTGGATGGTGGCCTGCACCTGGTGCCAATTCAATAGAATCAACGCCACTAATCACCCCCAGAACCTTCCCTGAGATCAATCAAGCTGATTTCCAACCCTATTTAAATTCGATCTCAGAGTCTTATGGGCGTTTCGAGGACATAAGGCATCACAAAGACAGAGAAAAGAGCGTTCTTGAACCCAAGAGTAGAGGTGCGGTTGGTGAATTGAGGGGGCAGGGTGAAGCCCTTGTTGCTTGCTTGAGGGAGGTCCCTTCTCTCTACTTTAAGGAGGACTTTGCTCTAGAAGATGGGGTTACTTTTAAGGCAGCATGCCCTTTCTCTTCGATCAATGAAAACTTGGTGTTACAAGAGAAATTATCACATTATTTGGATGTTGTTGAGGTACATTTGGTAAAGGAGATCTCTTTGAGGTCGGATTCATTCTTTGAGGCACAAGGGCATTTGCAGGACCTTAATAAAAAGATAGTTGAGGCTTGTGGGCGCCTTAGAGAGTTGAAGGAGACAATAAGGATCCTTGACATTGATGTAGTGGAGAATGCTCAACAGATTCAAGAATTGAATAGGACCCGCGGAAACTTGTTAGCTCTCCAACAAAAACTCAGGCTCATACTATATGTCAATCAAGCTCTTTCCACTCTGAAATTGGTACAGCTTGCTCGTGCTTTTTCCCTTTCTAGCGATTTGATGCGATATTGAAAATTGTGGTTGCTTTATTGGTTAATCATGTTTCTTCGTTTGGGTTGATGTTTGTGAATTGCGTGTTAAGATTTGGAATTATGCTTTTCTGCACTTTCTTGAGTCCCATTTTCGTTCTTGGACACATTTCATGAGATGCATGCTAACGAATGCATTTAATGCTAGAATAGGTTTGAGGAACAACCACTGAGGATGTTTCTGTTATGTTTATGTGAGGTTGTACGATCTCAAAATCAGCATGCTTTGCCTGCATTATCTCATGTTACTTTTTTTGCTGGGTTCCTTGTCTAATGGAACTTAATTCATCTGAGATGTTTGTTATTCTGAGATTTATCAGTAATTTTATTGCTGACAGGGATAGATTAGGTAGTCTTAACTCTTAAGAGAAAGCATGTTGTGCGAATAAACCCATCACCCATGGGTCTCTTTTTGTATCTACTACTATATACTGTAACACGAGTCAAATCCTTAAAAAACAGTAGCATATTGTGTGAATAATGTGAACATAACATGAAAAAGAAGGCAAAACAAATACAATGAGGCTGATAATGTGAATGGGATCTAAATTATGGGATAGACTCAATGGTCTGATGATATTTGACGAATCATTCTCCACAACTCACAACTAATAGGCTTATACGAACCTAAGGAGCTGGCAAATATGCATGCCAGATTTCACTATCTCTAATCACTTTACCCATTCTGAGAAACCGAGTTTCTCCATGGAGTTGCTACTGAGTAAGCTTGCCAACTGGTGGCTTATTCCAAATGGCAGTCCGCCTGACTCTCTGGGCCCCTGAAAACAACTCTTTCCAACCAGGTATGGTGTTCTTAAATGCCATCAAATTCTTTGAGGACTATAATGCAATATGTGATTGCTGCGTTGACATGATCTACCTTCTTTTCTATTTCGATGATGCACCCTAAGGTAACGAGGTCTTTCGTTTCCTCTCTTTTCATGATTCCACAAGAGGAATATGGTCTAGGTTTAATTGGTTAGCAGTTGATGTTTGCAATTCTATATCCTATGTCCCATTCCTACTGTTGCCTTTCCCCCTCCCCTGCCCCAAACAACCCCCCAAAGCCCCCCCCTCAAAAAAAAAAAAAAGGAAAAATTTTGAAGAGAAGGACTCTCTCTAATTATAAGGAGATGAATATAGAGAATGAGAGAGTAGGGTGTATCTCACAATTTTGAAGAGAGAGAGATAATGGAAGGATGAGGGCGTGCCACATTTGAGGGCTTTTCTCTCTTTAGAAAGTCTAATATGGGAGAGAGAGAGAATAAAAAAACTAGGAGGGGCGTGCCCCTTAGAGAGAGAAAGATGAACTTTCAAATGCGTACAAAATGAGAGATTGAGGGGGTATTTATAATGTTGAGTGTATAGATGCTTTAGATGTACTTTAATCTTGACCATTGAAGTCCAACATCCATAGCTACAAAGAGACGCTTGATCCTAGCCCACCATCCATGATCTTGCCTTTTTGGGAAAATGTGGTGGAAGTTCTCTTCACCTCATCCTCTCTTTTGGAAACAGGTATTAGACTAAATATGGCATGGGTTGTTGATGATTGGCTGCCTAGATCCCCCCTCATAGGTCCTTGGGAGCTTAGAAAAGCATACCCTTAAGAAAAGTTTCCTTTCTTAATCGTACTAGATTTAGGCTAGGAAATGGGCTTTGCATCAAGTTCTGACTGATCTCTAGATTGGTCACTCCCCTCTTAGGATATCCTTCCCCATCTCTTCTTACTAGCTACAAACCAAGATGCACTTGTTGCAGACTATGTGCAATTCAGTGGCTCAGGCCTTGTTTGGACCCCCACTTTTAGAAGAAACCTCTAAGGCTAGAAATTTATCTCCTTCACCTCCCTTCTCCAAGCCCAAGCTCCCATCTTTAGTCCCCGCTTGTGACAAGATTCCCTCATGTGGCCTCCAATCCCATCTAGAAACTTTTCAGTCTCCTCATTCTATAATTTTCTCCTACCTAACGTCAACCCCCCCCCCTCCTCAACAAAACATGGTACTTTCCTATCCCCCACAAAGTTCAAGGCTTCATTTGGATACTCCTCTAAGGTAAAACTCTTACCTTGGACCAACTTCAATGCAGAGGCCTTTCTCTTCCCAATAGGGGTACTCTCTGTATGTAGGCAGAGGAAAATATTCCACATCTTTTCATCCACTGTGAGGTCTGCCTTGCTTTATGGTCATCCCTTCTCAAGCTCTTCAGCCTCCAATGGGTAACTCCTCCGACCCTCTCAAATTTCTTCGAATCTTTTTTCTCCCCCCCTTTCCTTAAATATGGGAAAAAATTGTGGCATTTCTCTGTAGCAGCTTTGTTATGGAGTCTGTAGCTTGAGCGAAATGCTAGAATCTTTAGAGGAACCCTCCGAAGCCAACAAGCTATCTTTGAAACCATTTCTATCCTAATTTTTCTTTGGGCTAGAACAATACAAACCTTTGTTGCCATCCCTATCACTCATTTCTTGACAAACTGGGAATGCATTATTAACCTATTCCCCCACAACAATAGACCTTGCCCCATTTGGCTCCCCCCCCCCCCCCCCCCCTCCCCCAACCAACATGTTTTTTGAAACTTAACATAGATGGCTCCTCATTCGGGAATCCAGGCCCTGCAGGTATAGGAGGGCAGCTTGCAGACCCAAATGCTACCCTTTGGACTTTTTGAATACATTGGAATCTAGGATTCCATGTCTGTGGAAGTGTTGGCCCTATTGGAAGGCCTCAAATAAGTGGCTTCATTGGGGTTCCTGCCGAAGGAATTATAGTTGAGTCAGGCATAGTCCTCTGCGCAACTCACTAGCGGGACCTTCCATGGAGGCTCCACTCCATTTCTGAACACATCGACTCTCTATGTTGCTCAATGCCACAGGTCACCTTCAAACTAACCTTCCGGGAGGCCAACTCAGCAGCTGACCGCCTAGCAAAAGAAGGAGTTCATCAACGCCAAGGTGCAATGATCAACCATTGGTTACCCCCTCTATTCTCTTATCTTTTTCACCATTACTCTCTCCTTTCTGAACCACTCTACCCCTTTTTCTCTCTCTTATTCTCTCGTGAGCTTTATGTGGCCCAGAAGCCTAATACTCCTTCCCAAAAAAATAAAATAAAATAGAATTCGCTATTTCCCTCCCCCTTCTATCCTATCTCTCTCACCTTTCTTCTCTTCGTCTTCTCTTTCCCAAATTCTTATCGTGCCTTCCACCCTCTTATACCCTTTATTACACCCCCTCTTCTATTCTTCTCCTCATTCCATGCCTTGCTACTACTATTTGAGAGCACAAGTCTCTAAGACACCATTTTCACCTCCTTCCCCCTTGTCTGAGAGCATGAGGCTCTCGGCCTCTGCTACACCTCTGATGAAACATTAAGGTTGACTACCCTTCAAGACCCGATGAGCAAAGCAGGCAACACCCTGCCCATTTGCCTACTGCAACCAAACGTCAGATGCCCTCCACACTTGTATCAGGTCCAACAAAATTATCCTCGAGCATCTAGAAAACCTGGTCGACTACTATCTTATGTGTCTGCTAAACAACACTTATTTTCCCTTTAACCCTCATCCCGGTTTTATTCTTACTCTTGTTAGTGTAAATTGTAAAGAGGTTAGCTCTTCTTACACCTTTACTCCTGTTGTAATAGTGTTCACAACAAAACCTTTTTGAGAACTTTCTCAGAAGTATCTTTTATTTTGTTTTTTTCTCTTTCTCCCTTGTGAGCACTTCTTGTTCTTTCTGTTTGTTTTGAATGTAATTTGAGCACCCAATATGTGGGACGACGTTGATAGTCTTGTCTTCATGTAATTACCTCTTTTTATGAATGCAAAAGTTAACATTATTAAAAAAAACACCTTTATCCTCCTTTTTTAATAGCCATAATTCACTCTAATTTTTCTTGTATGGAAATACCCTCGCTCTTATCATATAATTGAACTTAAAACCAAGTTGGAGGGCATACCTTTGAGGTAGTTTGTCAAAAATTCCAGCTAAAATCAATTTTGAAACTTCCCTCCATTTTATAAGAACATGTGGGGCTAATCAAATTATGTCACGTAAGCAAGGTAGTTGAGTGCATTATTACCGCATATCATTGGGGTTTCAATTCTAATTTCAAACGCTATGCCCATGCCCTTTCTAGAAGGCTCACACATGTGCACAAACCACTTGCTTTGCACATTTAACGTGTGCCAAAATTAATTTTCTCAATTTTCAGAATTACACAAAATCCAATATTACAACATGCCCCCCATCATAAAAAAATTAGTCTATGACCAAAAGGGCCACCATGGGGAATGATGTCACCCCCACGTCATCACCAAGTTGGGCTGACGTGGAGCTCCCTTGGCCCCACCAAGACACCCATTGGCCATTTGGGTGTTTCGTGCGGTCTTGGGGGGGGTCTTTCCTTAATCATCGTTTTGCAAAAATAATTTTGAAAAAAAATACATTTTCTTGCTCAAATAATCCCAAAAAATGCCTAAAAATCCACAAAAATAATTTTAATTACTTTCCATCAAAATAAACCATTTTCACAATGTTTAAAAACATTTCAAACGGAAATTAGGATCTTATGGAGTTGAATTAAGAATTTGAACACTCCACTTGGTTAGACCTAGAATCCTAAAGCCATTGTTTTAGTATGACCCAACAAACTCATGACCCACAATGTATAATTAGAGTTCATGATATAGCTTATCAAAGTCAAACCAATGAGTGATCCTAAATCCCCAAGTATTAGTCGATTTCAGGTGCACTCCCTAAAGGACATACACACACAAGGTACATGGGTTCCTCCTTGGCACATGTGCATACCTCTTCTCAATGGAAGAGTCGGCTTCCCATGCTTTGCAACTATTTATGCACATGCTATGAGAAGGTTTTAAGAGTCGGATTTAGTTCAATGCCCTCAGTTGGCCCTAACCTTCCCATGTAGGGCTAATCATCGAGCTCATATCATCATCAACATAAAATCACATCGCCTTGGCCCAATCATTCAATCACGAGGCCCAATCAAGCTCAATAGCAATAACAATAACTGACCTTGACTCGAGGCAACCTTGAAACCTCTCGGTGCCTCTCATATATAAGAATTCTCCTCATGATTGTCCTAGGATATCTATTACTCTTGGTCCCATCTTGCCAAGATCCTAGAGTCATGTCGCTCTTTTCACTCCCATTGTAGTCAAGAGCTATAACATGGTGTTACAAGGCCTTGAAAGGCCACAACTCCGACATATTCACTAGTTATTCAAAATTTCAAATACATGAACGTTTGTTAGAGCCCATATCCCCAAGATAAATGACCATGCATCAACTAGAAGGCTTAAATATGTAATGGTTATGAATGCCACTGACCATGCCAAGCTCACCATAAAGGCCCACTATTGCCATCTTAATGTCAAGCCCAATCACATAACTTTTCCTTAACCTTATTTTGCAATTAATGCCCACCTCATGATAAATGATAATAAACATAATTTATCTGGCATGACAAGTCAAGCATTAAATAGTTCATCTGCCTCCTTTGTGTAAAGCCTAAAAACGTCAGTCGACACTTCATTTGACCATATTACCCTCTAAAATACTAGTAAGCTCAGAGCGTTCCAATTTAAAAATGTCGTTTACCTCTTTTAGAACATTTGTTATTACATGTGAATTCCACATGACCATTGCGATGCTTAATCCCCAGGTTGAACCTCTTCTCATAGATACCTTCGTTCTTCTCATAGTTCCAAAATTCTAACGCGGTTGGGACACAACTGATTCCGGTGGCAGGTCGGATTGGGACTTTGGCTTTACAAGTCTTGCCTAACTTCTCCAAAAATATGAAAAATTGTGTAAAGTATCTAAAAAGTTCTTAATGATTAATAAACATTGAAATATATCAACAAAAGAGAGTTTTGAAAAAAGAAACATTATCATAAGGTATTGGGAATCGACAAAACCTTAAGCATAGCACTAAGGGTGGAAAATTGAAAACATGCATTTTGGTTTCTGGCAGATGGTAACCCAAAAAATTGTTAGAACAACCAAGTCTTTTATGAGTTTCTCAGGTTTTGACGAGTCTTCATGAGAACCTTTTATCATTGTTATTTTGTCCAAAAGGACTTGGAATACAGGCATGCAACCAAGTCTTCTAATTGGGTTTTCACTGTGAGCACTAGCAAACCTAAGATAAGTTGCAATTTGGAGATTGAAAACTTCGAGTTAGTATTAATATTGTGAAGAAGTTGCTTTCTTTCTTTTGGAACAAAGGTTGTCTTATCATTTCTATTTGTTAAATTATTGTATGTACCATTTATCAAGAATAGAAAAAAAAATGTATACATTATATCATCCTATTGACAATTTCGGAGAAGCCTGTCAATAGCCAGTACCATTCAGAAAAAAAAAAAAAATAAAAAAAAAAAAAAAAAACAAAAGCTTGCAAAAATCCAAAGGGGTATTCTTGAAATTATTTTAACTTGAGATCAAGTATCACTTTCTTAGATGGGATGAAATTTCAAAACTTAAAAGTCAAAACATCTTGCATGTGGTGTCTGATAAATGGGAAGGCCTCGGTCTAAGTGCATTAGAAATGTTGAGAACGCTCTTGCGTCTAGAGTTGTATGGGGACAGGTGGGTATTCAGGAGTTATGCAAATTTGGCAGGGCTTGTGAGCTTGGAGGAGAATCTGTTCTATGGGAGGAGGTTAGGAGTGATTTTTTAGGTCGAAGTGTAAGGATAGGTTTAGAGTTAAGGTTTTGCACTGATGCTTTGTATGCCTTGAGATCTGGTTACCATATCTAACTAGCCAACTTCTATGCCTAAAGCATTGGCAAGGGATTGCAGAGGGGTGGTTACTTAGTGAGTTGGTGCTTGAGTTTGGAGTAGTTTGAGGCGCTATGGTCCGTGCTCATTTGCCTATAGGGGTTCTTCCTCCCACATGAAGTACTTGACTTTTCTTCTCAGTGGCCCTTGGCTGGGAAAACATTATGGAAGGCCACGGTAGCCGCTACAATTTGGTCTCTCTGGCTAGAAAGGAACAATAAGATCTTCAATGGTGCTTAGCTACAACAGCAAGCCCTCTTCCACAAGATTGTCTCACTAACGACCTTCTGGGGCCTCTCAACACAAATCCTTCTCAGGCATCCCTTGAAATACTTTTCTCCCTCAATGGCAAAACATCCTTAAGCATAGACCCCCCAAACCCCCTAGATTTAGTTGCTGGCATGCACCACGTGAGGGCACCATCAAGCTGAACTTCGATGGCTGCTCCTTAGGTAACCTTGGTCCCTTAGGCGCAGGGTGCGTTTTTAGAGACAGCCAGGGCTATGTCCTCTTTACTCTATCGGCACATCTTGGAAATTTCGACTCCCAATATGTAGAAGCCATGGCTCTCTTACTAGGATTGAGAAACCTTAATTCCTCCTGAGGCTCTACATTGATAGTGGAAGGAGATTCTTCTAATACCATATCCTGGGCAAGAGGCTTGCCCCCCCCTCCCTGGCAATTGTCCTCAATCTTTGACGAAATCTCCCATTTATGCAGGGATACCGGCGTCTTATGGCAGCATACTTGGAGGATGTCCAACAATCTAGCAGATCTACTGGTGAAAGAAGGAGCTAGCCTACACTCGGTCTCCCAGACTAGGTCCAACTCCTTTTTTGTTCTGGACCTCAGCCATCTCGACTCCTAGCCTAGGTCCAACTCCTTTTTTGTTAGGAACCTCAGCCGTACAGTTTAGGACCTCTCTCATCAAGAAAACCTTTGCTCAGATTTTTGTATATTTCCTTGTATACCTTGTACCTTGGGCACTTCTTATAAGCCTATACTGATAAAGGAAGACTAATGTATTTTTTACTGTTAGCCACTCAGGGAGGGCGTGCTTACAGTCTTACCCCTTGTAAACTCCCATAGCAATACAATGTTAACAGTTCTCAAAAAAATATGAAAACTCGACAACATCGGTTAAGTTTCTATTAAATTGTTGCTTTCCTATTGGAGGAAGTGGAAAAGGAGGTTCATGTTACATTTGCATATCTGGCCACTTCGGTTAGTATGTTGATGGTGGCCCAACATTTAAAAACTTGATATTTTAGGGAGTCAGAAAAGATAGTGGGTCATATCCCCTTGCCTTTTCTCCGCACAATCAGTGCTTGGTATGATTTTCTATATATGTTTGAAATGTGCTCTCCATTGTGACATTTAGTGGGAGTCCTCATTGGCTACGTGCCTTGTGTGTGGAAGATATCTTGGTGATTGAGAAAGGATGGTTACTTTGGAAGATATCTCGGTGATTGTGTGTGCCTCTAGGAAGAAAGACAACAATTTTTGTAATTGCATGTGCATTAGTGCTGAGTTTTTTTTTTTTAATTTTCTCCATTAAGTGTTAGCATTGAGATGTTGAAAACTGATGAGCAACATCATGATCTAAAAGGGCATGTTCTAGATGCAGTTCCACATTCACGTTATGCAAAGAAGATGCTAATATACAACCAAACTGTGAACTTGACACCAAATTGTAGAGCACGAGAGGGATCTTGAACCTCTCCACTTCAATGGTACCTCACAAGGGAAATGGTGATCTAATTTAAATTTTGAGGTAGATTACTCAAGAAATTTGTTGGTTGACAGGCACTTTTGACTCGAATGGGTTAGAAGCAAAAGCCTGCATGAAAGGCCTCTTAGTTTCTCCAGTTTTTCTTTGGTATCCTAATCATGAAAGTTGGCTCCCTTAATCACCGTCTTCGGGTGAGGCAAGAGGCGGTTTACCGGTTGAGACTGGCAAGCAGTATGGAAGAAGTATTAATTATTGCACATGTATTTTTTGTTTCACTTTCTTATGTGAGCAATGAAGTGAATGGAGAAGGCATGAACCCTGACCTGAAAGTTGGGAGATAGGCCCTATCTTGTGGGACTGTTTTCCATTCTCATGCGATGCATCTCCTGTTCGTATCCTCTTGATTGCATCTTTAATTCCACCAGACCTCTAATTGTATTAACAATTAAAGGAAAGGCAACCAAAAAAAAAGACAAAAGAAAACTTAAAAAAAAGAACCACACTATTGTTTGTCTGCAATTACTCTTTTTTGTTTTTGCTTTTGATTTGTATGTGCGTGAAAGCTATAATAACTTCCTCAAAAAAAAAAAGCTATAATATGTAAAAACGCATGATGACAATTGTTATTATATATTGCTTCGTGCTCGTTTATTTCCACTTGTGTTGTATTGATATTTCTTTCCTTCTATTTTTCTAGTTTGATTTCCTCTTCTTCATGCTTATAAATCTGAATGGGGTGGCCTTGATATAGATTTTTGTTATGAATTTGTGCTGCATGCATTGTTGGATGATGCATGACTGTGATTGCTGGATATAAAATTCTGATTTTTGGCTATGACTCCGTCATTTGATGAATTGTGTTTTGATAACATATGGTATGCAAGTATGGTCAACATTATAAAAAAAAAATAAAAAAAATGGTACGCTCACTTCTGTATATGATCTTATTCTTTTATTTTTGTGCTCAGCTTGTTGCAGCTTCTGATTGTGCTGGTGCACTAGATGTTATCGACGACTTGCAACATCTACTGGTAATTCTCAGGAACAATGGACAACTTCTCTTTTGCGAACTTTCATTGTAAAAGACATCTCCATTTCTTACTGGGAAGATTCTCATGGCGGCTTTTTCTGTAGTCATTTGTCGTCATGCTTTTTTCAGTTGGACTAATTAATGCATTACATTTTTTGTTTGTTTTATTAGCTTGCTTTTCTTTCAGTTTTTTTTTTTTTTTTGAAACGGTTACTATGAATTTCATTCACCAAGGAAACAATATTACAAAGGCATTATGATTGGGGTATGGGTGTAACCATTAACGATGATTGGTGTACACCACCCTTTGCAAGAGAATCAGCTTCAGAATTAGCCTCTCAAAAACAATGATGTAACTCAAAAGAACCACTCGCTACATAGAATTAATTTCTTCAAATAGGTTGCTAAGTCTCCATGGTGGCTTTGTCTCCCCTTTTGCCCAAGCAATAACATTGCTTTAATCACCTTCAACAACCTTATGGTTGTTGAACATTGTGAGCACTTTTAGGCCCTCCAGCAAGCCTCTAGTCTCTGCCTCACTCGCTGTTGTTGAAACACAGGGACCAGAAGAAGTGAAAATGTACCCCTATGATCCCTAATGATACCACCGAAGCCTGCACGGCTGGGTTTCCATACGAACTACCATTAAAGATTAATTTGAAATAGTTTTCAGCTGGGGGCAACCAATGTACATGCCCGATTTGGGTGCGGAACTGTAGTTTAGCAACTTCAAGAGAGTTCTCGATAACCTGCGACTTGGGGATGAATTTGCAATCCTTATTGATGGAGAACCATTCGGCTGCCATTGCTAGGATATCTACAGCACTGTTTGTTCCTTCAAATATCCTCCTATTTCTTTCTCTCCAAATATTCCACACAATACTCACCCATAACGATCGCCATAGAGAACTGTGCCAGTCTTTGATGTACCAGCATACATCCATTCCTGTAGGATTGTTGTTGTACTCTGAGGTATCGTGATATCTAAATTAATCAATTTTCTGCACCAGTCCCATATTGCTTGTGTAAATGACCAATGTAACAATATATGGTCAACACTTTCATTGTCTCTCAAGCACAGTCTACAGACATTTATTAAAATGAATCCCCTCTTTCGAAGATTTTCAACAGTTGGCGATCTATTTTGAATTGCCACACAAAGGAACAATTACACAGATTTGACTGTAAAGTCTCCCGATAGATTAAGGTCCCACACCAATCTATCTTCTTTAGCTGGAGGTCTCCTGTGCCTTCAAACAATGGTTCAACAATTGTTAGTAGAATCTGCCCCCTCGTAACCCTCTCGCCGAGGCCAAAGGATTAGTAACTTTAGAAAAGACCTCAGGGAAAGAGTACCAAAGGGCGTAGTTTCCCACCCATTTATCGAACCAAAACAAAGTTTGATCACCCTTATCAACTACCTTACGACAGTGTCAAAGATAAATAGGACGGCAATAATCAATCCCTTTCAAAATACTGGAAAATAACGATTTTGATCTTGGGCTTTTAATAAGACCAGTTAATACAGCCACACCATATTTCTCTTTGGAACCTCGCACACCATCTTTAAATGTTCTATTAGCTTGTTTTTCTGTTAATCTTTGTCGATGAATGATCTAGACGTGTTTTCTTCTTGTTGGATCTGTTGATAGCATACACCTTTGCATAAAATTCTTCAGGATCTTTTGTGAAAATATATAAAATGCATATCTCTACTGTATTTTTATAAGGTTTAAGACATTCTGAGATCATGGTGTACACAATTGGATACCATTTTTATTACTCTTTTTAGTGTGAAAATTGAAAAATTATTTTTAGCTAACATGTTTGGATTAGTAACTTACTTGACACGTCTAAATTAGATAGTTGAAGCAAGTTTTTCTTTGTGTTGCAAATACCACTGAAAGTATTTTTGGAGTGGCGGTTGGACTTCTCAGTCCTTAAGTTGATATGGGTTTTGCCCCCAGTTTATCGTCATTATAAGTCCAAAAACTAACTTCAATGCTTATCAAAGAGAAAACTTTACTATTATGAAAAAAGTGTGTATCATGTTCTTTCTCAAATATTCAAATCATGCCCTAAATCTGAAGGTCCCAAGAATAGAATACCTGGACATTTCATTTTCTTTTAACAAGGGAAAAAGGATTTCATTAATTATAAACAAATTTAAAAGCAAAATGGTGAAGGGGATAGGGAACCATGCACATCAGCTGAATTCCATACTTCAGGAGTTAGAAATTGCACACTCCAGGCACTTCCCTTCCAGATATGCTAACATTTGCGGCGTTTCTTCTCTAGGAACATGGGATAACTTTTTAATAGACACATTGATGCCCACTTCCTTATTTTCTATAGGGGTACCTAACTCATCCCTGAACTATATAATGACATCAAGGGAACTCTATCAGCCATAATTAGAAAACTCTCTTAAAGATGCAGAATCCTAGTTATAATCTTTTGGTACCTTGGTAGATCTGTGTTCCTACATCTACTTAAAAAAAGATAATCCATCTACCAAATGACTCTTCCAAAACTTGTTGGACTTGGATTTCCTTTAGAATCTCTGTAACAAATTTTTTAGGTATTGTCGAGGGGGTTGGACCCACTAATCTGGTGATGTTGAAAGAACATATTGTTGTCTCGCCGTTTTTGATAGGATTATAGATACTGAGGTGTTGAAGAGAGTTGTATTAGAGCATAGACCGACGTAACCATGGAATTTGCGACGACAAGAAAAAAAAAAAGTGCAGATGCTTATTTGTGTAATTTGGAAATTTCCTGAAGCAGCACTGAGTGGATCACGTCATATACCCACTTATTGGGGTCAAATTTCTTATGGGATTTGGATTTGGATTGGGATTGGGATTGGGATTGGGATTGGGATTGGGATTGGGATCGGGATCACAGAATCATGAGAAATAGGATGCTCCCTATGGTAAAGATTGCGGTTCATACACCCTGAATTCTAGGGATCTCGATCCTAAAAATATATTGAAATTTATTGTATTCGACTACATAATATGTATTATACAAAATTGTACGAACTATTGAGGGATTAGACTTATGAGCCACACTATGAAGCTGTGGGAGAGAGTAGTTGAGCAAAGACTAAATCGTGAAATGCGATTGTATCAGAAAATCAGTTAGGTTTTATGCTAGGGAGGTCAACTGTAGAAGCCATTTTCCTACTTAGGCAACTGATTGAGAAGTTTAGGGTGAAGGGAAACACCTCCGCATGATCTTTATTGATTTAGATAAAGCATATGAGATTTAATTTTGTGGGTGTTGGAAAAGAACTGAGTTACCAGAGGCTATATTAACATAGTAAGAAATATGTACAAGAGAGTGTTAACTAGTGTGCAGACAACTAGTGGAGAGACAAGTGAGTTCTTACTGACAGTGGACTTATATCAGGGGTGAGCACTGAGCTCATATCTCATTGTTTTAGTAATGAACGAGTTAACCAAGTACCTACAAGCTGAGGTACTGTGGTGTATGTTGTATGAGACTCGAGGTGCCGTCATCGCAAAGTTAGAATTTGGAGGTATGTTCTAGAATCTAAAGTTTTTAAAGTTATTTGAACTAAGATAAAATATATGGATATATGGAGTGCAAGTTTAGTAATAATGGGAGTATAATTGAGGAAGTAGTTAAGATATATCTAAAAGAGATTGTTGTCGATATCTAAGGTTGATAATCGGGAGAATAGAGAGATTGAGGAAGACGCTAGGCATATGATTAAAATTGAATGGGCGAAGTGGAGATGTGCATCTGGAGTTTTATATGATCGCCGGATACCATTGAGACTGAAGGGGAAGTTCGATAGGATGGTTGTAAGACCAGCCATGCTTTATGCAAGTAAATATTGGGTAGTTAAAAAACAACATATCCATAGGATGGGCATAGCTGAGATGGGGATGTTGAGATGGATGAGTGGACATAAAAGAAAGGATAGAATTTAGAATGGATACGTACTAGGGAACTTAGGTGGGGCTTCAGTAGGCGATAAGATGAGATAAAGTAGACGTAGGTGGTCTGGCTATGTGCAGTGTAGACCTAATTACATCTCCGGTTGGAGGTGTGATTTAGTTCAACTGAAAGGCTCTAAAAATGCAAGGGGAAGGCCCAAAAGGACATTGATCAAAGTAATAAGAAAAGATATGGTGACTTTTGATCTTACTAAAGGTATGACCTTTGATAGAGAAGAATGGAGGAACAAGATTCATGTAGCCGATCCCAAATAATTGGGATAAGGCTTGGATGATGATGGTGATACTATATAGTATGTATTACTATATCATACTACACTGCTAGCATATATTATACTACTATCCTATAATGCCAGTATACTACATCCTGTTGCTATACTATATTGCTAGAGTATATTGTAATATTAAGGATCTGGATCCCCTGTAACTTAGGATCTCGATCTCTAATAAGAAAGGTCGAGATCCCAAAAATTAAAAATTGCGGACAAATGATATTCTCTTTCCTGAAGCATAGGAATGAGATTCCAAAGCGGAATTGGCCCTTGGTTGGAAGACCCCAGTAACTATGGTTTGGCCTGATTGGAGTAGGGCTATGTCAGAATTTTATGTTTTGAGAATTTTGAGAATTTTGAGTGATGTGTGCATCAACCGGAGAAATGTTGTCTTGGGTCAGCTGGTTGATAAAATTCTTTGCAAGATGGAGGGTTAATGTGAGGATGGTGTGAGCTTTGCATAATTTGAAAGGATGTGGTTTGCAAGAAGAAGGGTCAAATAGGTGTAGTTATTAAAGAGATGTTTATGATAGGCAGACTACTTCTTGAAGTTCCTTCTCTAGTGCTAGACTATAAGAATGGATCCAACACAAGGAACTGTGAGAAAGTTGTGAAATTGAAATTTTATTGAAGTTCTAATAAGAGAAAGTGATGGAAACGATTCACTTGGCACATGCAATGAAGGCTATTGAGGCTCTCCTCAGTCAACACTTGTCAGTCATCTTTTCTCATTTCATGTCTAGGTATCTTGATTTTCTTCAAATTTAATGATATTTTCATGAAATTTTGTTAGAAGTGGTATTCTTTTTAAAAAATGTTGTTTTTTCTTCTTTTTGTTTTGATCATAGAATGTGGAATTGGTACGGGGACTTCCTAGAGAGGTTGCTCATCCTAGTATTGTTTCTGTGGAAGCGTGACTAATTTCATACAATAATGGAATTTCTTGAATTTTTACTTGGTTAACTGGCGATATACATACATAATCACATACCCAAGAAAATCGCCTATATTTAACACAAACGTGCTCATATTTTAGCATAATATATAGATATGTATGGTCTATTTTGTTGGCATCCTATATCGCTTCTTTGCCTCAAACTTGTTATATGCATATGTTTATGAACACATGGGCAGGTATATCTTTTTGTATGCATGTGCATGCATTACTTTGCATTCATAAATATATTCTCATACACCAGCACATGTATGTTCAATATGCTTGTATGAAGTTTAATTGTTGTTAGTTCTTAAACATACAAGTTCATAAAAATTTAGTATGGATGGACTGATGGAACTAGGAAGAAAGAAATTTATTTTAATTGGTTTTTTTATTTCTTACTAAGACTTGAATTTGTTGGATAGGATGGTGATGAGCTCACTGGTTTGCATTGTTTCCGTCACCTTCGTGATCAGTTAACAATGTCTTCAGATGCAATAAATAGGTATTTCTCTTGGAGTCTTTTATGCATGTGAAGACACTTCTTCAAATAATGAATTGGTGTTTCTCTTGGGGTCTTTTATGCATGTGAAGACACTTCTTCAAACAATGAATTGGTGCTTGGCTAGGAATGACCTTTACGTTACTACCTCTGCATGATCTGAGACTATGTTTGCCATTGTCTTATTTCCCTTGTATATGTTCATTTTTTTTTCTTTTTATAAGATGGAGGAGCCTCACTCTTATAACACTTTAATGCTTCACCAATCAGCTTCATCCTATTTTGTGTGGACATTAACCGATGGATGACTGTGTACATGTCCTATGCTCGTGTCTCTAACTGCAAGTCTTTTTCTCCTTTTCAGCCTCGGGTATTTTTGTCTTATGGGCGGTTTACATATACATCAAATTCTACTTATTAGTTCTATGAAGTCCATTTTTATATTTTCTGCTTATACATAACATGTGGTTTGGCTTATTCATTCTATAATGTTCACTTCTATTTTTACTCTGTCAAAGCAAACATAATATATGCTTCTAACTAGTTACTATTTCGTTTCCCCTTCACAGTTGCTTTCTTTTTTGGAATCTAATTTTGTGCACCATATATGTTATTTCGTTCTATATGGCTTCATGTAATTGTATCTGTTTGTATTGATTTTAATTTCTTTTCTCAATCCTTGCCATTATTGTATTGACTGAATAGTATTGACACCTTGTATTATTTTGAAGGACTATCTTGAATGACACATAACATTATGATTTTACATTTTGTTACTCATCCATGACAAAGTAGTAGTAAATCTAATGTGTCTAGCTTGCCATTTGACTTGTGAAATTCGTTCTTGTAGCATTCTTGCAGCAGAGTTTTTGCGGGCAGCAATATATGATGCAAGAGAACTGGATCGATCAATTTTATCAAAATTGCCAGTTAAGACTGCCGATCTTAGCAATGGCAAAGAAGAGGAAGTAAGTGAATGAATTTTTGAATCAGTTCTCATGGGATAGAATATGCACTTCATATCAATAAACTTTATTGGCCATCCTTAGGATTGTATATTCTCTTAAGTAAATAATGGATGTCCAATTTACTTCCAGTGTCTTGAGTCTTGACAAATGAGTTTTAAGGCCCTGTTTGGATGACAATTGACTTTATCAGGAGTAGAATACATTTTCTAAAATAGTAAAATTAATTTATTCTCTATATTACTTGCTGTATATAAGTAAAATATTCTGTAGGTGTTTGGTACCCTGGCACAAAAGTCTACATATTGAAAATTGGCACTGGCCTTCACAGTGAAAGCTCCATTGTTCTCCATTTCAAACTCTACTCTCTCTAGTTGTTCTCTTTCTCACTTGAACAAACCCCACAAAAAAACCCCAATTTCTCTCACAAACTCTTCCACCAATTGTACGTTCTATTTTCAAAAGGTGTTGCAAATTTCTGGCACCTGAGAAACCAGTGCTGATCTTCTTGCCCTATTCTCCTTTATTTGTGGGTTTCGATTCTTTACCCAAGTCCCTATTAAATGCAAAATTGGGCAGATCACTGCTCTCTGTAATGCAAAATCACGGCTATGTTATCCTTGTGATGCAAATTTGCCTAATTTTCCCATTAGAATTTGCTTGAAAGTTTTATAGCGAATATCTGGACCAAGACCTCTCAAGTTTTTTAGATTCAGAAAAGAAAAATGGCCAAGTAACAGATGGTCTTGATGGCTTAAATTAGAGGAAGTAACAGGACAAGAAGCTCGGTTTTGATAACAGGGAGCCAAGGTTTGTTGACTTAGAGGGAAAAGAAGGCTCATACTGTTCAGTGAAAAGCAATAATAGAAGTAGAGAGAGACAGAGACAGCGAGTCCTGGAAAATGCTTGAGACCGGAAATGGGAATAGTTGCAGGGTAGGGTGATTGATTGATTGATTGATTGAGAGAGAGAGAGAGAGAGAGAGAGAGAGAGAGAGAGAGAGAGAGAGAGAGAGAAGTACGTAGTAGTAGTACGAGTACGACGTAGAGTAGAACGTACGAGTAACGTACGTAACGTACGTACGTACTAACCGTAACCTACCGTAACCGTAAC